AATTATGAATTTATGTATCGTGGTAAAGATGCTGTTGATGTGTTTTGTCAAAAACTTAATGAGATTAGGGCAGAAGTAAAGGAGAAGATGGGAGAAAACGAAAAAATAGACATGACTGATGAAGACAAAGAAGATTTTAAAAATGCTAAAAACTGCTTTATTTGTGGAGATAAGTTTAGAATGAACTATAAGAATGCCAAGGAAGCAGAGAAATATAGAAAAGTTAGAGATGGAGGGCGAAGCCCTCCAAGCTACTCTTCTGATAAATATCAGAAGGTCCGCGACCATTGTCATTTTACAGGTAAGTATAGAGGTTGTGCTCATAATGTTTGCAATCTTAATTTTTGTAATAGATATTTTAAAATTCCTGTATTCTTCCATAACATGAAAAATTATGATGGCCATTTAATTATTCAAAATGCGGATAAATTAAGTAACAACAATAAAATAGGTGTCATCGCTCAGAACAGTGAAAAATTTATTAATATCAGTTTTGAAAGTTTGAGTGTTAAAGACACTTTTGGGTTTTTAACTGCTTCATTAGATAAGTTAGTTTCAATGAGTAAGTATGATAATACAGATGAAGAAGATAAAAGTAAATGGTTATTGCGTGAAGACTGGAAAGATAATTTTAGGTTTAGTAGTAAAAATGATTTGATTAAGAGTGAGAAATGTCTAGATTTATTAACTGATAAAGGCGTTTATCCTTATGACTACATGAATTCATTTGATAAATTTGATGATGAGCAATTACCGAGTAAGGATGATTTTTATAGTCAGTTGAGTGAAGAAGGTATAAGTGTTAACGACTATGAAAGGGCAAAAATTATATGGAAGCATTTCGACATTAAGAATATGGGTGAATACCATGATTTATATTTGAAAACTGATGTATTATTATTGACTGACATTTTCGAAAATTTTAGAGATGTATGTATGAAATATTATGGATTGGACCCTGCTTATTATTATACATTGCCTAACTTTGCTTTTGATGCTATGCTTAAAATGACTGGTGTAGAGATTGATTTAATATATGACCAAGAAATGTATGAAATGATAGAAGCGGGACTTAGAGGCGGGATGTGTATGGTTTCTACTAAAAAAGTTGAAGCAAATAATAAATACATGGGAGAAGAATATGATAAAAATATAGAAAGTAGTTATATTAACTATTTTGATGCTAATAATTTGTATGGGTTAAGCATGATACAAAAACTGCCATATAAAAATCTAAAATGGGATGATACATTAAAAGAAGAAGACATTATTAATTACAAAAATAATAATATTGGATATATTCTAGAAGTGGATTTAGAATATCCTAAAGAATTACACGATTTACACAATGACTATCCAATGGCACCTGAGGTTATGAATGTTAAAGCCGACATGCTGTCAGATAAACAAATTGAAATTTATGAATTTTTAAATCATAAAAAACCTACGGATGAGAAAACAAATAAATTAGTATTGAATTTAAATGATAAAGAAAAATATGTAATCCATATAAGAACCTTGCAATTTTATTTGAAGCAAGGATTAAAACTTAAGAAAATTCATAGAGCAATTAAATTTGAACAAAAAGAAGTTTTAAAACCTTACATTGAGTTTAACACTGAGAAGAGGAAGAATGCTAGAAATGATTTTGAGAAAGATGTTTACAAATTGATGAACAATGCCATATTTGGAAAAACAATGGAGGATAAGCGAAAACATTTAGACTTTGAAGTTGTGAGTGATGAAACTAGATATATGAAGTGTGTAAGTAATCCTAACTTCAAACATAGTCATATCATTAATGAAAATTTGGTTGGAGTTGAAAAGCAAAAAACAAAGTTGAAACTAGACAAACCTATATTTATTGGGATGAGTATTTTAGATTTGAGTAAGCAACACATGTATAAATTTTATTATGACGTTATGAAGCCTAAATATGGAGATAATATTAAAATGGTATATACTGATACTGATAGTTTTGTATTTCATACTAAAACCAATGACATTTATGAAGACCTTAATACAATTAAAAAAGAATTAGATTTTTCAGATTATCCTAAGGAACATAAATGTTATGATGATAATAACAAGAAAGTATTAGGTAAATTTAAGGATGAATTAAAAAGTAAAATAATAACAGGGTTTATAGCTCTTCGTCCTAAATGCTATGCTTACTCAGTTTATGGTGATGATAAAAAATATAAGAAATGTAAGGGCATAGCAAAAGGCACAGTAAGACGTCAAATGAAATATGAAGAGTTTGAGACGGTTTTAAAAACTAATGAGGTTATACATAAGTCATTTAATAGTATTAGAAGTAAAAACCACAGAATTTTTAGTATAACAACTAAAAAAATTGCTCTTAGTAGTTATGAAAACAAAAAATATTGGATAGATAGTGTAAACTCACTTGCTTACGGCCATTATAAAATAAATTCTTTGAAAACGACTTAAAGAAATATTGACTTAATATATTAAGAGGAAAAATGACACTGTTTAATTATAGTAAGTGTGAATGTTGTAATAATAAAAAGAATGATATTAATTTTACATTGTATAACTTATTACCTGCTAATCTGTGTAATAAAATAAGTGAATATGATGTATATTGTAATCAATGCTGTATAACAAGAGACCTTGAAAAGTTGTTTGTTGAAGAATATAAGGATAAGGGATATACAAAGTTTCAATTAAAATTGAAATTCTTTATGAAATATCAAAAACGATTTCCTGTATATTTTTGTCATAAAATTGATAGAGAGTCATTTGAAAAAGAAATTGATGAGTTCTTCAATAATAAAGATTTGATTAAAAGGTTTGGAGGGACAAGCGCAATTAAACCATATAAAGCATTTGCTAAAGAATTTCGTGATTTGTTTGAAGAGATTGATTGGCATTTATTAAGCAAAGATAAAATAAACAAGGTCTTGAATGAATTTAGAATAACTAAATATCATGTATGGTATTACTACAACACTAAATATAAAGTATGTCTATTGCTGAATTTATTCTTTTGGGAATATATTTATTCAATAATAGGAAAAAACAATATCAAATATATAGACATTGGTGATATTGATAAATATGTAGATTACATATTTGAAGACATATTGCCTGACTGTTATCTTAAATCCTTAATTCTTAATTGAAATATAATTATAACATGTAAAATATTATATGCTATAATTATACTATACTTATGGTTAGTTTCTTAATTTTTATTAATGCCTTAAAAATGACTTAAAGAAATATTGACTTAATATATTAAGATAGAAATGAACGGTGATAAAATCAATAATTATATCAATAAAAAATGCTATGATTGTTGTCACTTCAAAAAAGAAAATATGGAATTGTATAAATTAAATTTACCTAATGGAATAATAAATAATATTATTGATTATTCAATGGATGAAGAATATGTATGTGAAAATTGTAAAACCTGGAGAGATAACCAAGCTATAATCAAATGTTTGTTGAGATTAAAAGGAAGACATAATAGAAATGTAGAAGATGACATTTTGATATTTTTAACTGTGTATAAATTACCACCTTACGTTTATGTTAAACAGTTTCTTAAAATCAGTAAGAAAAAATATGAAATGATTTATGATATATTAAGGATGTTGTGTCATAGTCAAAAGAAAGGAGAAGATATTAAAGAATATATCAAATTTTATATTGAAATTTATAAAAAGTTTAATGTTAAAAATACATTGAGAGATATTAATATTATTTTTAAAATGATGTATGAAATAAATGAGATTTGTCAATTAAATTATTATCCTGTACTGAAATTATAATCATACTATGATTATCACATGTAAAATATTATATGTTATAATTGTAATATATTTATCGTTTGTAAAGATTGAATTATAATAATTTGCTTATCTCTTTCAAAGTGCGTTGTTTAGACTTGGCATGCTTCTTCAATTTTTTCGTTCTTTGGCTGTTTGTTTTTATTTTGTTTGATGCTCTTGTGATATTTTTTGTTGGTATGTTGCTTTGTTTTTTGTTGATGTGTGTTTTTGAGTTTGGGTTCTTTGATGATTTAGAGTGTTGCTGTTTTGTTGGTATGCTTGTTTGAATTATTTAATGTTGCATGCTGTGATTAAATATATTTGTTGCTGGTTGTGATTATTTATTTTGTTTGCTTGTTGTTCTGGATTTTGTTTTCTGTTTGTTGTGTTGCTGTTGGAGAAAAAATAGTAGAAAGAATAATTCTTTGAATTCTCCTTTTACTATTTTTTCCCCCCCCCCTGTGGAGGCAAGGGAGAGGCCTGGAGAAAAGAAGCAAACCCACAAATGGAGCCGGACAAGAAAGGTCATCATGATGGCATGGGGTGCTGGCTTGTTGATAGGTCTCTGCTTAGTGTGGCTGTGCCACATTGAAGCCACGGTTCTTGTTGCTTCGATTGGCAGGCATCCAACACGGGGCCCAGGAAGAAACAAGAGGTTGCAACTCCCGCCTCTACATGTTTGTATTAGACGAGGCACCCATAGGATCATGGCTTGACTTGGTTTTAGCGTACCCTTACTAGTTGTTTCGGCCCTCTTGGAGCAAAGAAGAAGCATAGAAGCAACAAGTGCTTTTGGCTTGTGCTGTGTTTGTCTTTCAAAGCGCTTTTGGGTTTTCTGGCATGGATTTTATCCCCCAGGGCGCGCTTTTTGCGGGCTTCGGGGATGGGAATTCAACGACCTTCAGACCCGCCCCGACGACCTCGGAAGCGCGACTCGAAGGCCGGGACGTCGGTGTTGCTTGACCGCATGGCTGTGCCAGGATGGGATGATCCTCCCCCAACCCCACCCCCGGGTTTGTAGAAGGAACAAAAACACATCGAGCGCACATTGGCGGGTTCTCGCGTCCGCTTCCGCCCTGCCGCGGATTCTCGGCTCCTGCCAGCCCAAAGAGCTGCATCCGAGCTGCGGAGACTCCAGGTAGCTGAGTGGCCTTGCGGGTTTGTCCTGGAGTCGACTCGGATGGCGACGCGATGTGAATGGACTGGCGCCACTCCTTGCAGCTGGCCCACTCGCGCCTCGAGTTCCACGGATCCGGCGCGTCCGGTGCTTCCGGATGGACGGAGACGGTGGGGCGCTTCACCGCCGCCATTTGCGGCCGTCAGTGGGCGGGGGCCGTGGCGCTGCTGGGCCGCCTGCGCAGTGTTCGTCGGCCGCCGGTGGCGGCGGCCAACGCCTGCGCCGGCGCCTGTCGCCGGGGCGGCAGCTGGCGGCGGGCGCTGCAAACGTTGGAGGAGGTGAGGCAGCGGGGCTTGCGGGAGCGCCTTGGCCGTTTTGGTGTTGGGGCTTGTAAACCCGCCTGACACTTGCGTCAGGTCTTTGCCTCTTGGCTGGAGTTGCATCCATGGAGCGCTGACACTCAGGACGCTGGTGAGCACGCAGGCAGTGTTGCCCCTGGACTGGCGCAGCAGCCTCCAGATGTGCCGCAGGCGGGCTGAGGGGCGTGTCGTTGTTGCTTTTTTGGGTGCCCCAGGGAAACTCAGGAATTGCTGGCCTGAGGCAATGCAACTCAGCTGCCTCTGAAAGGGAAACTAAACAGGAACATCTGGCTTCGCTTCGGTTCCAGCCAGAAGGCCAGAGGCTGGACAGTGGGGAGTGCTCGGGATGCACAGGATTCAGAAAATGCCAGACAAACAAGGATGCATGATTCCGAAGCTGCGGAAAACGATGCAACGGGCAATGGATTCAGGTAGACAGGCTGGGTGAAATAAGCTTGACATTCAGAAATTCAGACGAAGGAAGTTGATGCTGATGAGATGCCATGCTGGAAATGCTGAAGGATGCAAGGGATGATGAGGCCAGGGATGCAAGGGATGCTGGAAATGCTGGGGATGCTGCGATGTCCGGGATTCCAGGACACCAGATGCAGAGCGGCACAGGATGCAGAGACAAGTGACTCGTGACACTCCTCTTGCTGCTTTCATACCTAAGACTGGGGTGCGAATAAGTTGCATTGCTTCAACATCTCCTATCGCCATCGCATATGGAGAGATACGCCATGATAACATTTGTCTCATGGTGGAATACTGCTATAGTAGGTGTTGTGTGAATCTGTTGGAACTGCCTTTTGCATTGTCTTCAAAGGGTCGCACAACGACACCGCATGAAACCCGCCGCAGAAAGACAAGCCCCCCCTGCCCCCGGTTAGGACAAAAACAACATGCCTGTCGCGACAGGATGTGCGAAAGCTCTTTGCAGCTGTCCCTGCCAGCGGTCAGCAGCTGTATTTGCAGCGAGCGGTGGCGTGAGGCGCGCACTCTTTGAGCCTGGGGCCATGCGCTCAAAGCCGTCCCAAAGCACAAACTGAATGGTTCCCTTTGCCTTCCTTCAAACGGGTACCCTCATTTTGAAGGAACAGATGATCATTGTGTTGCATTTAGTTAGACGCTGGGTGGTTGGTTTCCCTAACAGGGTTTCCCCTAGAAAAGGCAACGCGCCTTGCGACCCTGCCCCCACATCCAACCACCAGGCTCAGTTTCCCTTAGCAACGAGAGTGGGCTTTCCTGTACGGCCAGGGCTCGAAAGACTCAAAAGCCCTATTGGTTGGTTTCATGGCGTACATTGAAGACTGCAGAACCGTGCTGGTAAATCCAAGTATGAGTTTTAACTGGACAAGCCTCTTCGAAAACGGCCCAACCCTTGAAAACCTGAAACAATCGAAACCCCTAAAGCCACCCCCAACAGGGTTTGGTCAACCCAAAGAACCTCAACCCCCCTTACCCCCCGAGAACCCATCCCAAAAAATCCATCAAACCAATAACAAAGGCTTTCAGGATCAAATCTCAGCCAACATATTACTAGTACAAATGAAAAGCACCAGTACAACCGCCATGAACCACCCCCCCCTCCCCTCCCACTCCACTCTCCGCCCTCCCCCCCCCCCTTCCCGAAAAAACGAAATGGGAGGGGCGTCCAGGCCGCCTTTCTGCTGCGGTCCTTGAAATCTCGGGCCTTGCGCACGGACGCGGTGGCCGGCGCAGCCGCGCTGCACGGGGCGCCCTGGCGCAGGGCGGCGCAGAACCTACGCGGCCTGCGGCAGGAGCCGTGGGATGCGGGCGGGATACGTTGTGGGCGCAAGGCCGGGGCGTCCATCTGCTGAAGAACAGTATGTTTTAAGTGCAACTGGAAGTTGGGCAAGGATTCTTGGTTTCCCATCTTGGAGTGTTTCACAATTTCAGATGCCAACATGTTGAGGAATTCTGGACGAACAGCATTGGCTAGATTGCTTGCGTGAACATATCCGGGGGACTGTAGTTTGAGACAAACCATTGTGTTGGGTTTCCAGAGTTTGTGTTGGTTGGCTCTCTAGCGGCGCCCCCATTTTTTTTCCCTTTGGGAGTAGGCAGTGAAGGGCTCGTGTGAGCGCTTGACTTGGGGAACCATATTTTGCAACAAACCTTTGTGGAAGTTTGTTTTGCTCAAAATTTGTGCATACCAAAACGGGTCCAAAGCAACAAAAACGAGGTACGTGGCTGTAAAACATGCGGCTGTAAAGAAGGCAACACACAGGGTGTTTCAAGGGAAATTCATGCACAGCCGTTGTCATGTTGGGGGCTTCCTTTGAGGTTCAGACACGGCTATGTGGTGGTCAAGCCCCGTGGCCCCATACTTTATAATTTGTGTAGCGGGAAGGACAAAAGGGGGGGGCAACTCTCCAGTCTGAGCAGAACCTGCATCGGAACACTTGAGGCACCCATCTCTGCAAAGGGACCCATCAAATGCCAGCTTGACCATCGCTCCTTGGCGCGCAACACTCCATCAGTGCACTAGCCAGCCTGCCGGCTGACGATCATTCAACTGTCCAAGCACGTAGTACACTGCCCCATCCGGCCAGTGTACATCTCGTTTCCCAGTGCCAGGCTGGATTGCCCCTCCTAAAGGATTGGCCAAAAACTGGAAACCAAAGAAAAAACTACTTCGTCCTTTTTTCTTGTTTTTGGTGTTCGGGGGGAGGGTCCCACCTGACAAGGACCTTAGCTCCGGGTCAGGAGCTGGTGCAGCTGGACGTGGTGGCCCACACTGCGGCCCTGTCCGCCGTCTGGCGCCGGGCCCTGGCGCAGAGTGCGGAGGCGGAGGCAGCGCTGGGGGCGGCGAGTCCGGTGACCGGCACCGTGGTGCTGGCGGCCTGCGCGCAGGCGCGAGCCGAGCGCGAGCACAAAAGCGAGCGCCAAAGGGACCGAAGGTTTGAAAGGACGGCTAAATACAATAACATGTTTTTTGTAATCTAATATATTTGTGTCCAATTCTGGAAATGTCTTTTTTGGGGATTCCCGGTACTCCTCGTTGATTCCCCAAGACATCCTGTTTATAAGCGTTTGTTTGCGGGCTTTGATTTTTGGAGCGTACGCTCGTTGCTGGCTTGAAGGCTCCTTGGGTCATGGTCATGGCTCCAGCGGAACCGGCACCAAGCCCCAGAGGTGACTGACCAAGGCTCTGGGTATGTGTCAAGATGGGAGTGACTGCACGAATGGACGTGGCTCAAAATTGAACAGGAGGGGTTTCGCAGGTTTTGGTCCATGTTTCCACTTACCAGGGTTCCATTTTGGTACCGGTTTTTTGAGCTGTCACAGCCAAATCAGACGGGTGTTCTTTTGGTGTCCCCTTTGCTGTCAAACACAGACATAGACACACAGCAAGAGGCCAAGTAAGGGAGACGATTAGGCATCCATGAGTGGTACTGCATCAAGGTCTCGGGGAGTACTGGTCAGAACGGGACACGCCTTTTTCTTTTCCGGTGTTCGTTTCGGATTTCGGAGGGGTCTTCTTCAAAATTCCCAGACGCTCCAGCGTGCCCTCCTCGGACCCAGAAGGTCCCTCCAGTTTGGGTCTTTGTCACATTTGGACGTGCGTTTTTGGACCTTTGTTTCCCTTGTTGGCGGTTTTAGACATCACCTTGTTGGCCCTTTTGATTGGTGCGTGTTTTTTTCCTTCTTTTATATTTAATGGAAATATGGGGAGCCCTGTTTTTTGTTGGTTGGGGGGGTTGTTGTTTTGCATTTCAAGGGTACCAACGCCAAATGAGCCCCACTCACACCGTGTCTCTTTGAGCCATATGGAGGGAGCCCTACGGGTCTCTCGCAGGTGGGTCTCTGGCAGCGCTGCCAAGGGCTGATCGGCGCGCTGAGCGCCGCACAGCTGCGGGTGCAGGCGGCGGCCAGCAACGCGCTGGTCACTGCGGGGGAGAAGGCACGAAGGGGCTGGCTTGTCCGTTTTTAGGTGTGTAGGTATGCACAGCATGGCATGGTATGGTATGGTATGGTATTGTATGGCATGGTATTGCCCCCGGATTAATCAACCCGTGTTTATTTAATATGGGGGGGTGTTCCCCTTGTTGTTCATCATGTTGGTGGGCAAATACTTTGTTGTGCTTTTCTCCAATATCAACCAAGAGCAAATACTTGTCGGTGCCCTGTTATTCATCATTTTAAATTGGTTTTTGTATATTTACTCAAGCAACCCACCAACCAACAATCCAGCCAGCCAGCCAGCCAGCCAGCCAGCCAGCCAGCCAGCCAGCCAGCCAGCCAGCCAGCCAGCCAACCAACCAACCAACCAACCAACCAACCAACCAACCAACCAACCCACCATAGGTAACCCGAGACTCCTCCCCCTTATGGCATCCTTCGGCGGAAACCTCGGACAGGCAAGCTATTTCAGGGGCCTTTCATTTGGACACCCATTTTTGAGCATGTCACTGGCTGGACATCATGGAGTTGTTCTATCCACCAACCAGTTTCGAGGATCCTGATTTTAACATTCGTGTCTTTGTTTGCAGTTGGTACCCCTTCTTGGGGGATGGGTTTGAAGGGAAAGTGACAGGTCCAGGCCGAAATTCCGCAAAGTTCTGGATTCCCCGTTTCTTTCGGGCATTTGAGGGCCAACCCAAAGAGTCCATCTGAGTTTTTTCCTTTTTTTCTTCGTGAGCCAGGCGAGCCAGTGGCCGTGGGCCTTGGGCCACCTTGCAACGGACATCGTGGGCTGCAACGCGGCGGTCAGCGCCTGTGAGAAGGACGGGGGATCTCCCGGACCGCTTCCGAGGTCTCGGTCGGCACTGTTGAACCGAGGAACCACTAGGCGTAGGGAAGACCGTTTCTTACATGTTTTTTTTTTTCCAGTTCGGGAAGTTCTCAAAGTTCTCAACAATTCAGCTTCCCTCCAATTGGAGAAGGTCGAAATGCTTCGGACCATGTCTTGTTTCCGGCTCTTCGGGTGTGGCTCGAAATCAAACTGGGGCAAGCTGCAGGTCTTTGGTCTGCGTTGCTTTCCAGGTACCGGAATATGCCGGTTTGTGTACCAGCTTTTGAGCCACAGCTTTGTGGCGATTTGTGGAATTTCACTTGTTGAAACTTTGTGGATTTTCCGAACTGGACCCAGAAAAAGCGAAAACCACTTGGTGCGGAGGGTTCAACAGCAACCATGTCTTGGTTGGCATTTTAAGGGAAGCGGAGAGATGAAGTTAACCATAGGGGCCTGTTATTTTATGGATGTTGAGTTGCGCGAATATTTGTTGGGAACCAAACCTTCCGGGAAACGAACCAAACCTTCCGGAAACCCACCACCCCAATCTTTGGTCATTCAATCTTGCAGGAAACCCACCCAACGCAACCCATCAGAAACCTACCGCCGAGGAGTTGGCAACTCTTTTCCCCCTTTCTTGCCTATCTTGGGTTGGTTGGGTCGGGATTATTTGAGAATTGCAGGACCTGTCTGGCGAATTTGGGAAAGCCCAAAACCTTGACCGCCCGCCATCGCTTCTGGAGTACCCAAACCTCACCCTACCCCACCCCACCCTACCCCACCCACCCTATGCACTCAGCCCCCTGCCGTACCCAAACCTCCTCCCAAGCCGCTTCCGCTTCCGTTTCGCAGGGCTTGCAGTGGCAGAGAGCCCGGCAGCTGCTCGGCTCCTTGCACCCGCGGCTGCAGGCACTGCAGGGAGCTCCAGGACTCAAATGGAGGTCCACAACGCAAACCTGCTTGGAGCTGGATTCTCCCTTTTTGGTGTTGAGGAACGGGATTCTCGATTTTGAGGAGGTTCGGCTCCCACATAATTAATTATAGATTGCGGCAAGGTCTACATACAGCTTATAATCTCTTCCCCCAATGAATGACCCCAATTAATAAAAAATGGAAATCCGGGGCCCGGGACCAGACTTCCACTCCGCACAATTGATTTTCCATTGCGCCAATACTAAACCAATACTAAAGTCTTGGAATCCTTATTAGGGGGCACTTGTAACAAGCTTCCAGCCCCAATCCCATTGGGTCCTTTATTGGGGTGGTGTCCCTCAAAAGAAAATATGTCCCCAAAAGCTGTCTAGCTGCGACTGTCTCTCTCCCGTACATGCTGGCTAATTAATTATCCTGCCTGGCTGCAAACAAACAACCAGTAAATTGTGACACAAATAGAATGATACATACAATTTCCTTATTAAACCGCTTACTCGCGGACCTTACAATTCAATCCATTTCCTCCAAATCCTATGTGAACCCTCACATTGTTGGAAAAGCAAAACAAAACCCAATTCCGAAAACCCCAATTAAACAAAATATTTTTTGGGAGGATTTTTTACTAATTGTGGGGGGGGGCGTATCTATTGATAGGGGGAAGAGTTTAGTCACGTTGGATAATGCAGCTGTTTGACTCGTGTATGGTCATCGTGCTAGATGAGTTTTTTGGAAAGTTTGAGGGACTCACACATATTGTTCTCCTGGGAGAGTATTCTACACTTGCAGCAGCTCCCCTGTTGGGTCTAGGGGTCCCGCGCCACGTTGCCGGTTTACGGAACGCCCCTTACTCTGAATACTAATTGTCATCTATCTTGGGAGCCAGAACTTTAATAGTTTGCGGACCGAACAGTTCGTCAGGCCGCGTTCGTTTGAAGAGACGACCACATCGCCTAAGATGACATGCATCGGCGGGGTTGTGAGACCTTACGCGGCCTCGCTGTCAGGCAGTGATCAAAATTGAAAGCCAATGGGTGTCCACCAGGCGACCCGAAATGAGTTTGCCTTCCTTTGGTTTCCAACTCGACCATACAAAAGGGGGTTGGTATGTCCTCGGGGTTGCCCAAATGGAAAGCCGTTGTCAAGGTCCCCAGATGTTTGAGTTTCGGTCTGTCTGCTAAAAGGCTTACCCAAGACCATTTGGGGCCCCTATTTGAGGAGGATCGTTATTGGTTGGACGCTTAAAATAGATACAACCAAACGAAAGACGCCAGGGTAAATTGTTAGGCACCCAAGTGGCAGCTCCCAAACCCTTTCTGTTCTACTATCTGGTTGAGTAGGCTTAGATCCCATGTTTTGAACCCGTTTGGATGGAGCATTTAGTGCGCGAGGAAGGTCGTGTACGGACGCTGGTTGAACCTATTCGGGCTAGGACCCAGGTGGCCGAAATGCTGCATAGGTACTGGGGTGAGCTAGACTTCCAGCCGCTTTCTGGAGGCCTCGAACTGTTTGGCAAATTTGGCTCAGACATGGTTTGTTTGTCGGATGCAGAAACTTTCGATTGGGTCAGTCTCAAGTGAATCAGGGAACCTGAGATCCTTTGTGCATGGCCCTTTCAGAGGGAATCCAAAAGGAAGGCAAAGGAAGCTGATCCATTTTTTGAGGGTCCCCTTTATAGACACCCATTTGGGTGTGTCTTTTTTGAGGGCACCCCTTTTTCGTGGTTTTATGGAAGGCAACAGGACCCCCCCCCTTTGGGGGTTCCAAACTTAAAGTGCTCCCATGTGGACATGGCTTTTGGTTCGACCCTTTGGCGCCTTCCAGTCCCAACTCGGCCACGGCGCAGCGGCGCAGCGGCGCAGGCGGAGACGGTGACGTGCGCCGCCCTCGTCAGCGCCTGCGCTGCCACGGCGCAGTGGCGCGAGGCCTTTGGCTCGCTGGGCCGCGGTGCGCAGGATGGGCGGCGGGGGGGGGGGGGGGGTGGGAGTGGGCCAAGCGGCAGGGGTTTGACTCACAAGAGTCAGGCGCCGGAGTTATGTTGCAGGCTGGGCAGGATTCGATGTTATCACCCTAGCTTCAAGGATGTCCAAGGGGGATTTTAGAACCTGAAGGCTGTGGTTGCAGTAGTTGCTGAGCATCACCTCAAAGGTTGTGTTTGAGGTTCTTGCCGTCGCCGTCAAGAACGCCTTTTCTTCATGCTCAGGTTTGCCCAGCCCACCCTAGGATTCCTGAACTCCCCCTGGAGGGTGGTTCTAAACGTCACCTGGACCTGAATGAAACAATTAGTCAATGTGGGTCTTTTTTTGGTGGAGTAATGTAAAAGGGACATGTAGGCAGCCAAGACACAGGCAACACAGTCGGCGACGGGTCATGTACTTCAATATCTCTGGCATCTGGCTGAGGGGCCGCCCTTACCATGCTAAGTTTTTTTTGGGAGACGTCAGAAGGGCCTTTGCTGTGCATGTCCAAACTTATCATGTTCAGTCTCAGGCCAGTTGTCCCTTTGTCGGCATGTGTGCGTCAAGGTTGAAGTAATTGGGTGTGGCGTTTGTTGGGGACCCCAAAACGGTGAAAATCCTTTTAGTTTCCCTTTAGCCTCTCCCCCAAACACAAAAACGGGTACCCTCAAAAAACCAACCAGTTGGCCGGCGCGCCGTGCTTGGCGTAGAATTCCCCACCAGTCGAAGGCAATTTTCAAGGGATATGCATAGGACCTGTGCTCATTGTGTGGGACTTAAGGATCAGCCTCGAAATTTGTCCCAGAGCTCCGCCTGAGCGGTCTGCATCCTAGAACAGGTTTGTCTTTTCACAAACGGATGAATCGCGGGTTGTGTGTTGTGCCCGCTTTCAACCCGTTTCAGCCTGTCACAGTGTGAGGCAGGACTTGATTCCGGACTTGAGCGGTTGCCGGCCACATGACGTGTTGGGCTCCCGTTGGCCGGTTTTGCTCCCACAGTTTTTGGCTTGGTTTGGGTTTTGAGTTTGGACGGTGGATGGCGTTTGACTGGCCAGGGTTTTGGACCTGTCGGCGAGGCGGGGCTGCGGCAGAACGACTTCACCTCCAGCGGCCTGCTGAGTGCTGCCAGGAGGCGCCGTTGTTGGCTGGGGTTGACTTGGCAAGCAACAGCAATGGGTTTTGGGATAGGGGGCTCTCTCTGATTTCTGGTTTGGTGCTTTTTGAAGGATTTCAAGGAAAGGCCCGCCAAATCCTTTCTTTGAGAGCAGGTGGGCAATTGGGCACCTTCGGTCATGAAGCAAGTTGTAGTGTCAGGCCGCAGCCGAAAGGACTTTCGGCGGCCGTTGCCTTCCCCTTTTTTGCACCCCAGGGGGAGGCCCCCCGGCAATAAGGCGACAAGCCATGATGATGAAAAAGCGAACCTACAAGCCACCACTCTGTGCGGTCATGCAAGAAACATCCATTGTTTGTGCTTCTCCACTTCTGGTATTGAAGGGAATGACCCTTCAGTTTCTAATAAAGCGTTTTTGGCACGGGGCCCTCTCTTCTTTGTATTTGTGGTCTTCCAAAAGTGGCAGTTTCACTGTTCCCCACAGGTCATTTTGATCAACATCAAATTCGGGGAGAGACCACATCTAGGAGAGGATTCAGTGTGACCAATGGAACAAACTTAATACATGGGTCCACCGCCCAGCAGGCCCCAAAAAGGACGAATAGATGATTCTGCGCAAACCGACCAAAAAGGGTAAGCTTGTCGAAACCAAAATTCCCTTTTTCTCCTATTGTTCAACGTTGTTGATCGCTAATGTCTAGGTGAGTTTCCTTTTGGTGCTTCATGTTGCAATGGAAACAGCATGCAAGAACCCTTTGACCTCCCAAAACCTGCATCCCCGCACCCCCCACCCCCCCAGAAATCGAATCTGGCCTGCCATTTCCAGTCGACTTCAGTCCAAATGCCATTCTTCTTTGCCCCCAAGACACTGCTTTTGCCCAGTCTTTTGACGCGTTTTCCCCAGGGGACCGGGCCGGGCGCGCCGCCGTCGAGCGAACTGAGGCACTGGCGGCGAGCGCTGCTGTGCCTCGCGCAGCTGCGTGGCACGCGGCCCAGCGTGGTGACCGAGGATCGGGTTGGGCGCTTGGGTTTCTTGGGTGGTTGATTGTTTCGAAACTGTAGGTTAGTCAGTCCTCTACGAAACGAACTTCAGACTATGCAGACAGCTTTCCCTTCCCATTCCCACTCCCATTCCAGACGGCTTTCCCCTTTCCAAGCTTTACGTAGGACGCCGCAATCACCGCATGCGAGAAGCCCATGCAGTGGAAGAAAGCGCTGCACCTGTGCCTTGGAAGAAGCCATGTTGCCTCGTGCCCTGGGTGCCCTGTGCGCATTTTGCTGAATACGGTTCGCTCAAAAACGAACAGCTGTTCCACTGAAATCTATTTATTATCACAGCTGGTTTGGGAATCCAACTTTGCTTGCAGTAAAACCCTGCTCTTGGGGTTCCCCAGATGTTCCCTGATGTCCCTTGCCTTGGAAAGAGTTTTTCCTCAACAACATCGAGACTCCCACACAAGGCGTGCCAAAACGGTTGTCTTGTTGGACAATTCTTGGGGCCCCCTCGAAGGGATCAGAAGGCATCCCATGCCCCACTTTGACTACATAGGGTCCTCGATATTTTTTGTTCGTTCCCACTCCCCACCCTTTAAAACCCAAGAGGAAGCATGTTGGCAGATCCAGGCCATCCTTCTTCAAAGTCACTTCGGAAGACCCCAAATCTTCCATTCGCTTAAGATTTTTTTTTTTTTTTTTGCCCTGTTGATTTTAAAGGTAACTTATCACTACTGGAAATATTTTCTCATTTTTTCCAGGGGGCGAAGAAGCAAATGGAAGAAATTGGCCGTCTCAAGCCCCTGGCCCGCCGAGGTACGCCGCGCTGGGCGGGCCCTCGGCGGTGTCCCGCGGCGCGGCGGCGCGGGTCTGCGCCGGCGCCAGCGCCTGGCAGGCGGCGAGCCAGCTGCTGGGCGCGCAGAAGGACCGGGAGGGGTGGGGTGGCCCGTTTTAAGGAGCTCCGACAAAAAGAAAGCAATGGTACACCTTCCATGCTGAACAACTTCCTGCTGGCTTGCCACCCGGTGCCTTGGGCCTTTTTTTCCTTGTTGACCTTGGCAAAGGTGGAGGGCTTGCTGTTCCAAAAGGGCTGTCCGAAAAAAACAGCGCCCGTTGCTGGGGATGTGTGTTTGATAGACAACACGGTATTTACTGTGTTTTGGAAGCGTTGGAGCTTTAAAACTACAGCGAAAGGGAAAGGGTGAAGGGCATCAATTGCCGGACCAAGTCGAGACCCGTTCGTATCAAACTCTCAAACGGGCATACTACACTTTGTTGAGTTGATGTCGGTTTTCAGGGTGGTTTTGTTTAAGCAAAGGAAGATACCTCAGCGCCAGCCTTCAATTGCGATCAAGTCACCACCCCCGAAAGCCAGATTACAGGGTGGGGTTTGGGCCATCCCCAAAACCTTTGGCGGGTTGAACGGGCCTCTGTCTTTGTTTGGAGTTGGCCCCCGGTGCTCGTGCTGGGAAGCCAAAGAACAGCCACATATTTTCAGGGTTCGCCTCGGAGACAAATCATTGACATGCTTTCAGCCAGGTTTTGGATGGTTTCCCCTTTCAACTCCAGAAACTGGGGCCAGCCTGAGGTTTGGGCTGTGCCAAGGAGGGAGTACCTTCTGTTGATCGAGTAATGCATGCGGGATATCGCTGGAATCCCCTCCCCCCTCCACAGTGTGGGCACCAGGCACGCCCGTTTTATCTCTTGTCAAAGACATACTGAACCCCGGGGGAAGTTAAAGACGCATCCACCTCTGCGACAATTCAGCAATACCAGACGAAAAGTCACATCTTGGTCGACTGAAAGTACGATACTTGTCATTCAATATGTTGCGCAGTCATCCCGCAAAAGGCATATTGAAGCCACGGACATGACACCAGCCAAGCGGAGCTGGAATATGGAATCCATAGTTTCAGTTGTGCTAATTGCGCGGCACTCAGCCGGATTGTTCCTATCTACCTCTCTTTCCACACTTTGTTTCTCTCAACATCGATGCGCCGAACTCGGACCTCGGAAAACTCGGCAAACTCGGCGGAGGATCGACCCCGCGCATCGATCGATCGATCGACGCGTCAGTCGATCCTCGCCTACGTCTTTGCGCTGGATGCGAATGACATGGGCGGGCAGTGCCTGGAGGCCGGGCAGATTCTGAGCCATGGGCGAGATTGTGGGAGACTGTGCGGGGGAGTCTTGGATACAAAGAAAACCGCGTACATCCTGCGACCAGTCTAGACTGGCCCAGGAAGTTTCCCATCTTTCGATGGTTGCCCCTCTTTCGTCCGCTGGGCTTGGATCCAGAGGGCTGCTTCTTGGGCTGAACATTTTGACCTGCGCTCTGATTCAGGTGAGTTGCCCGGTGGGTCCGGGGCCGGTTTTCTCCATGGGGTGAAGCTCAAGCGCCCCTAGTTCCAAACTGCGGGCTTCGTGTTTTTGATCTTCACCTCCGGGTCCGGGCTGCTTTTTGCCCCGGGCGAGCGGACGGGATTTGGAACCATGTGTTTTCAAGCAAGCTGAACAGGAATTGACTATCTGTGGAATCTCAAGGCTTGGGAAAGGTAGTTAATACGGAAAAGATATTATATGGGTGAGAGACTGTGGTGCATGAGGATGAATCTCTTTCCCTTATCTTCCTTCTCTTGGATCACACGTCCATCACCCATCGGGTTTCCCTTTGGCTTCTCTTTGGTTCGACCCCCAGAAGAGTACCGAGCACACGCACCGAGTGACTTTTGCCGATGTGACCAGGTGGTGAGGCTGTCGGAGGAGCTGAGTCCGGTCCTCCTGCGGCGACTGGCCGTGTGACCTGCGGAGCACCTGAAACTGGGTGCTCCGTTCAAATTTGGGTGTGGCTCAAAATGTAAGAGCTAAGGTTACGCAGGTTTTAATCTTTGGTTCTATTTACTAAGGTGCCATTATGGTACAATATTTTGAGCCACAGCCAAATGAGCTGGAACCTGACACTGAACGAGTTTCCGTTTTGTCTCATGTTCGAGAACGGCTAAGTGGGGTACCCTCAAAAATGCACACCTCCATGGTGGACAATTGGGGCCTTAGGTTGTCGCTTTCTGTCAGACAAGATGGATCTCTTTTTGCATGGCATTTGGGCAAGTTTGATAGCATCCTCACGAAAGGCTTCGATGGTCCCTTCTTGGGGTAGGTCTGCAGCATGTGCCGAATTCGCATCGCAATGTCCTTGCACTGAATTGTGCTTTTGATCACGGCCTTTGCTGTCGCGGTGACGCACCACGGCACAACGATTGCAAAGGAACGCACTACAACTTGAACCATATCCCGCCCTCTTGCAGTCTGCCTATTTGGAAAGACCTAGTGCCAGATGTAAAGAGCCAACGTGTGGTCCAAAGTACCGCTGCATCTCCTTCTGGCCAGAGAGTCCCAAAGGGCGACCGTGCGAATCCGAAAGGACAAGCGCGCAGACGGATTTCGGATGCGTTGCATGGTAGAACTGCAGTGGACATGATGCCAGGGGATGTGCACGCTGCGAGAGGCTTGTGGGAGGGTAGGAGGATCGCGATGAGACAGAAATAGGATTTCCACACGTGGGACATTTGCATTGAGCAGCGGGCATCGCTAGCTGTAGCTGGGATGGGATTGTTTGGGTTTTCCTTTCTGGTTGGTTTGAAAGACAAAAAGGAAGCAAACTTCTTCGCGGGCACCTGATTTTGAGTCAATCCCATGCGTCAAGGTCTGGGATGACTGCGGCTCTTATCGTTGGACCAGATTGATCCGTGCCCGGACGAGTTGATGTTAGATGGTGGTCCACATCGGTATGCCGATGGGATATGAACCGCCCCACCAAGGGCCGGATTCTCTTTGTCATCAAAAAACACCAACACCGAAGCAGTGCACCGAAAAAAATGGGACCCAGTTCAAGAGCTGCTCACGACAGGTGGATCTGCAAGAGCTGGAGAATGATGCGTGCAGACCCCGGCGGAAACGGTACATCATCTGAAAACGGCTGGAGAGTCCTGCATTGTTGGGAAAAGGGGCAGGGTTTTGAAACGCACAGGGAGTGGAACTGCACTTTACCACGTTTTCCACGACCGGCGAAACAAAGTCTCCAAATGAACACTCATGAGGAACACGTTTCGGAGGCTGCCAGGCTTTTGCGGCGCACTCCCTTTGGACCTGCTATGTTCCTTATTGACAGTCACCATCCGAAACTGCCGAACCGAAGGCACTGTTTCGGTGGTCTCTAGCCATGCTCGTTGTCAGACAGCCACCAGGTTCCTCATGTTTCATCAAAGCAAGCTCGGGCCCGATGATGAAGTTGGTTGAAGATTCCTTAACGTCAGATTTTTGTGAAATATGTGGCGACTAGTGCGGAAGAGTCGGCTTTGTCACTGAACCGGTAAAACAAATGTTGTACTTGGTGCAGAAGAGCAGTTCAACCGCTGCCTTTGGGCCTCAAGCTGAAGCTGGCCCAGATATAGGTTCAGGTCACTCACTTGACATCTGATGCCACGAGGTGCCTTCCGGGAGCACAGGCGGGCGTTGGGCTCTTTCGTGGTCAGCTGGAGCTGTTTGGCTGGTCCAGTGGGTTTCCATTCGTCAGGCCATGGATGTGTGGTGCATGCCCGGTGCCCCCCCCCATTTTTCGGCTCTCTTTTCAGTTCCAGATCCTTTGGGCATGGTTGAGGCAAGCCCTGGCTTTGGAATCCACGGAAAACTTGTTTGAATCTTGGGATGATGGCGTGGTTGCGATGTTTGCCACAGTCATTTGAGACTTTGTAAATGCGTGCAAGCGACAGTTTGAGGCTTGAAATGGAGTTGCACATTACCAGCAACCAGGCTGTATATATAGGGGTCACATTGAGGTTCATCTCAACTCGGCCACAAGCAAGCAAGCAAACAACCAACCAAACAACCAAACAAGCAAGCAAGCAAGCAAGCAAGCAAGCAAGCAAGCAAGCAAGCAAGCAAGCAAGCAAGCAAGCAAGCAAGCAAGCAAGCAAGCAAGCAAACACCCACACGAGGGCGCAATCCGAAACCCCACATGCCAAGCACATCTTCAACCCCAACAGACAAGCCCCTCAGGGCTTTGTTCACCTCGACTGCCCCGGCTTTGGTTCTCATGGCCAGGCAGATGACAAGGGCGAGGCGCGCGTTACGCACACCGATGGCAATGGCGCTTCAGTGGAGTTCATAGCGCCCAAAATGCGACTCCTACGCGTTATGGCGATTTTGTAACGGATCTTTGGACCCAGCAGAGGGGTCAACAGTCAATAGCAATCTTTGCTGGTTTCCTGAAAAGCAGGATCCCTGGAAAGCATGGGGGAACTTGGTTCGGTTTGGTTCGGATTCGGGGGAAATGTTAAACCAACATTTGGCGAAATGGGCGTCTTTTCGGCTTTTCTTCCGGTTTTGGGGTGGGAAAAACGGGGATCCGATCCCTGCGTCCAGCTCCGTATCCGCCAGGAGCAGGTCTGGCAGAATCGCTGGCGTCGGCAGTCCCTCGAGGCGCGTTTTGCGACTCGGTTTGGGGCGGACCCCGTTGGGTTTTAAAGGGAAACCACCAGAAAAAGAAAAAAGAAAAAAAAGTAGGAGGGCCATCTTTCTTTTAGGATGTTTTGTTTTTTGTGTGTGTTTTTTCAGGGTGGGTGGATCTCTCTTGGGATTTTGTCCGTTTGTTTTTCAGGGTGGGTGGCTTTTTCGGCAAAGAAATAGCACCTGTGTACAACGTCTTTTGAGCTTGTTCGAAACCCATTTGAAAGGGACATGGGTCGCTGTCGCATTCATGGCCAGAGGGCTGACCAAGCCTCCAAGAGCGGCACTCAAAGTGTTGCAAACAGCCGCAAAAAGGGCACGACGTAGCGAGTTTCCTGTTTGCTGCGTGGAGAGCCATCCAGAAACCTGGGTTGAAAATTCGGCTAGCTACATCTCCAAACAGTGGCTGGTTTGCCAGTGCATTGGTTTTGTGAACCCCCATGTTGGTGCATTGGCAAGAGGCTCTCAGTTGAGCACATGAGCAGCATCCAAAGCCCAGCAAGTCGGCCACGTTAAGCCTGGATTTCTATCCGCTGTGCACGGACTTTGTGCCCATCTTGGCTTCAAAGATCTGGTCCGGCCAGGGCTCCAGCGACCGCACGGAGGCAGCGGCACGGGAGGGGTTTCCTGGCAGCTCTTCGATCGGTTTCCCGTTGACCTGGAAAATTGCGCTGTGGGGGCAGCAGTTGCTACCTGTAGATGCAGCTCGCCGTGTAGATGAGAGCAAGGTTTAACATGTCGAAGAAACATGCAAGACCACTGCCCGCCCACCCTTGGTTGACCAGGCGCTCGGTTTTGCGAGCGCCAGGGAATGTGCTGAGTCAGATGTTGCCTCAGGAGGCTGAGCGACTGACACCTCGACTCAGCCATGGCCCTAGGGCTGAAGTTGGCCACCTCTTTTCAGTTGCTTCCCGGAATCAACCTGAGGGACTCAACAGACACATTTTCAGGTTGGGGGAACTCACCTCTCAAGCTGCCTCTGTTCGGCTTGAAACAATCCCTGGGCACGCTCGCTGCTCTGAGGCCAAGACCAAGACAGGCGCGCAGCTTTTTTGTGCCATGGCTACCCAGTGAATTCCTTGAACCCAGATCTAACCAGCCTTGGGGATGGAAAAGATCATTTGACCCGGTCCTTGGATCCGCCAAAAAAAGGCTGGTCTCGTGGTCTTGGGTGGATGCAGAAAATGCCCAGGATTTGTTGAGAAACTGTCAGATGACTCAGGACGCGGCACAGTTTCTAGTGAGCCAAGAATATGGACGGTTCCTGGGGCAATCCACTTTCAAGTAAAATATATTGCTTGCCAAAACGGATGCTTGCAGGGGCATGCGACTCAGAGGTAATGCAGTAGAGAAAAAAGCAAGCCCTTGCGTTCCCTGTCGCTCGCATGCCAGGCGTTTTTCCCAGGAAAGCAAGGAGAGCAGTAGGATGAGTCGCTGGCTCAGAAGCTATGGTCCTTAAGAGCCGTTGGAGCCGCCACCAGAATGACATGTAGCTATTTGTCAAAATTGTTTACAGTAGAAATCATCAGAAGCAAATAATCCTTTAGTACTCTTATTGTTTTCACACACTATATGAATCAATGAACCCCCATTCAGAATTTAGGAATGATCTACATATAGAAATTGCGAGCCTTGCAGCAAAACAAGCAGTCCATCATTGCATCCAATCATATGCGATTAAACGGGGCGCGCCTGCATTTCGCGCTTCTCCGGAGCAGACGCGTGCGCTCTTGGCATTGCATGAGCGCTCGGACGGACTGCACGGACATGGGCCAAGAATGGGGCCAGGTTCTTTTTGGTTCCCGTTTTGCACAGCCGCCCCTCAGAAGACCATTTTTGTAGTTGGTACCCAAAGCACAAGGGCCAATGGACAAAGTCCCGTAGCCCAACCCAGTTCTCGAATATTGCGGCCTGACTGTGGGGTGATGGCCTATCGTGTCGATGGCTCCGGGGAAGCCTGCAGCTTGGGCGGTGGCCGAATTCGAAGTCCGAATCGACTCGCAAGACTCGGAAGAGCGGGGCCCGGGGATTGGTTCCTTGGACTCCGAAGGCTGCGGCACTTGGGACGCTTGCCGGCCTTCGATAGGTCTCGGCTCTTGGCGCCACGTCCTCCAGCGTCGCTTTAGCCGGAGTCAGTTGCCTCATGGCGGTTGCCGACCTTCGGCTTAAGGCCACGACTTGCGGCTCCGTGGGCTGGCGTGCTGAGCGCCTCATGATTCTTCTGACATCGACGCAGCGCCCACGCGGTTTGCTTGCTATGGGAGCATTGGGTCATGGGATTGCGAGATGCTCAAACA